GGGGAAAGGGGGTCGAAGCTTCACATTAGTACTTGAGCTCCTCGGCTGACACTCCAATTCAGTGCTTGGGGAATGTGCATTGTTGAAATTATTGTCCTTTGGAGGAGACGTCTGCCTGTTAATGTGAATGTAAAAGATCCCATGGCACCATTTGAAATTTAATTTGTTCCATTGGCACTGAATAAATGGAACTGAATTTAATTTATATTTATATTAAATTATATGAATTTATATCATCCCTCCTGATCCCAACCCACGACTCGGGTCCAAACCCTTGACTGGCCAGTGCCTTGGGATGTCCTCCTGACATGAAAGGCAATCTACAAGTGTCATTTCTTATTCTTGTTGTTGAATAAACTGAAGGGGGTTTGGCTTAATGCAATACCCTACAATAAGAGTAATCGGAACAATTCTCTTCCCATTGCAAATTCGAGCAACGGAATTGAGTGAGGAATGATTGATCCATTGGAATACTGTGCTGGGAATACAAGTCCAGTTCTATCATTTATATGTTGATCTGAAGGCAATTAATATGAATATAAATAGACAGGGGCCTTGATAATACTTTGACACATTGACGTTTTTTCTGTTGAGACATTGTTTAGAATCCTTTATTTTTCTTTGATCAGCTGGGTCTCTGGCACACGCAGAAACCCATCACCGTGCTTAAAAGCCTGAAAAACATGTTGCTTGAAATACGTTAGATCAGCATCATGTAGCATTGAGAACAAGAGGACACAGATTGAGAGTTGTAAAGGGCAATTTCAAGGCAAACGCCAGGAGGTATTCTTTTGCCTAGAGGGTAATTAACAACTGGAACAGGTTACCAGGAAGGTCGTTGTTGAGATTAGGAAACTCAATGTGACGACTGTAGGGTGGGCATTAAGAAAGGATGAGATCAGATGTGGCAAATGGCCTCTCTCATCTGAACCAACCTGTAGCTCAGTGGTTAGAGCACTCGCTTTGCAAGCGAGAGACCTGAGTTCAATTCCAGGCAGAGGGCGAAACCTTGGGCAAGTTTCCTTACTCCACACACCTAATAATAATCCCTCAAAAAAAAAACAATAATAATTTGGTCATTTTCAATCTACGACTGTTTGTGGGACATTGCTGTGTGCAATTGGCTGCCGCGTTCACCCACAAATATACAGTCAATTCACTTTGCAGTATATTCTGTGAAGAACTTTGGGACGTCTAGAAGACGTGAAAAGCGCTATATCAAATGCAAGGATTATTATTATTATTGTAATCTTGTGATGCGACTCCAATTGTAAATGTTGAGTTAGATAATTAAAATTGCATGGAATACAGAAGGGTTTGTAGTGCGTTGTGAGTTGGAGAGGGATGATGAAATATGAGGATATTTTTATAGTTTGGCTCCCCTCTGCTTCCTCTTATATTCATATTAGACAAGTCTCTCAGGGAAGAACAATTCTCTATAGCGCACGAACTGCACAGCATCTAAAAACATTCTCCTTTAATGCTTAATGCTGTTTCAGGCAAGAAAACATAGTTTTTCTTATTTGTGCCATCTTCACAGTTGCTGATATCATTTGATGTTCTTCAAGGGAAACAAAAAATAAACTTGTGATGATAAGAAAAGAAAGGAAGTCAGGAACGTTGGGACTCACATTAAAATGGAAGAGGTCTTGGTATTCAAGTTATACAAACACATTCCGCTCCTTTAACACTGATCTGAAGCTCTCTGAGGCTGATTGTTGTGTTCTTTGTTCTGCTCCTCAGTGCCTCTGCACCATGTCTACACGGTATCAATGTCTCCGTTTATAAATGAAACCAATGTCAATAGAAAAATAAACCTTTTGGGCTTCAAGGCATGGTTAGGGATGCTCCAGCCAGTTTTATTGGATAGAAGGGTACGGGAGAGACGGAATGCTAACCCTTGTGAAGGCTGCTATATAAATGCAAGTTGTTGTTGATTAGGAGGGGTGGAGGATCAAGCAACTCGGACTCCAACTCCGTCTTTGTAAAGTGTTTTGAGATAGTCAGCTCAGTGAGCGGCATTGCATAAGTGATAATTCTTGCATTGATATACAGCCTTATCACGTTGTTGAGACGTCTCAAAGTATATTTTGTGGACGAAACATGGCAGCCAATTGTGCACAACAATGTCCCACAAACAGGCGTGGATTGAGTGACCGCATTTATTTGGTGGGGGGTGGCGGAGGATTAATAACCCCGTGAAGTGATCCACCAATCGACTAACAACCGGGTTCCTAATTTTTGCTAGGTAACAGGCGTGTGGAGTAAAGAAACTTGCCTTACTGCAGTTTGTTATTGTAATTTCTCAGTGATATTTTGGATGGAAAGTAAAATAGTGCGAGCCCATTAGGTTTAGTATTCCTCACGGGAGCAGGATGAACACACAGACCATCTGATACCCATTTTTCAGGAAAATATAATATGTAATATACAAGAGCAGAAAAGATTACCAAGTAAAGGATTTCTCTCTGAGCTCACTGCATTGCAGCTTTCTTGGAAACGTTACACACAAAGTCCTTTTTTTCAGGTTGACTGTTCAAAATGAGAGATCTTGAAAGCTTTCATGCAGTAAGAAGATATGGGCCCTGTAGCGCAGGCGGGAAAAAAAGATTAAAAAATTCCTCTGAGCACATCTTGTGCATGGATCTAAATGACAGAGAGAGCTGCTTCCTTGCTTCTATTCTTACTTGGTCTGTTGACTTATCTGTCCTGGCTGGTAAATTGTAGTGGAAGAGCCCCACACATAGGTGAGTGGCTGAGTTCACAGTGTGTGAAAGCCAGGAGCCAAAGGATGTTATTGAACGAGATAAGTAGAATCGTAGAAATTCACAGCACGCTTGGCCCACCATGTGTGCGCTGGCCCTTTGAATGAGCAATCCATTCAGTGCAGTTCACCCCATACCCTGCAAATTATTCCATATCCCAATGAGGGTTCCAGTATTTGTCAGTAAACACCAGTTTATACACAAATTCAGACCATACAATGGTAACCCTGGAGGTTTTTGGTCTGGTTTCCCAGCACGTTTTATAAAATGGTTGCCGTTTGCTCCTTTTAGATGGTCACAGAGATCAGAGTTTTCCACGGGAATCCGACAAGTGAAGCTTGTAATCTCTACCCCAGACCCAAGCTTGAACATTTATCAGGCTCTAAATTTAAAGCTTATTACATTCAGATTGATACACAATTCTTCTATTCCTCTGTGCTTAAGAAGAGTCTGGTGTCCTGGCCAATATTCCTCCCTCACCCCAAATTTAACCCTCCCATCATCCATCCCATTGCTGTTTTAGGGGCATTGCAAACCAGCTGCTGCACTTAAAAGTACTTCATCGTGAGTTGTGGCAAATTGAATCAAGCGGAATCAGCTCCTTACCAATGGTGTCGTCACTCTGTTCAAGATCCTGGTCCTCACCTTCAAAGCCCTCCATGGTCTTGCTCCCCCCGACCTCTCCGACCTCCTAAGCCTCTACCACCCTATTCGCTCCCTCCACTCAGCAGGCTCTGGGCTACTTAACGTCCCCCAACTTGCTTGCCCCACTATCGGCGGGCGGGCCTTCCGCCACTCTGCATCCACCCTCTGGAACTCCATCCCGCAGTCCCTCCGTCTCGCCCCCTCCCTTACCACCTTCATGACCCACCTCAAGACCCTCCTCTTCAACCGTGATTTCGATCTCCCCGCTTCGCCCCCTGCCCTCCCCCCTCCCCCACACTGACCTTCAGCTCAGGTCCATAACTCCGTCTATCCAGCGCCTTGGGACGTCTTTCCGACGTGAAAGGCGCTTTACAAATGTAATTTTATTGTTGTTGTTCTACAGTGCATTTCGTTTGGGAATTCACACCCGTGAAATGTTTCCGGTGCAGACAGTCCCAATCAGAACCCCGGTGAAGCCATGATCTGGTTAGAGAGCCTTTGGTTGCACACAGAAGGATTATATAAAATATAGTCCATAAAGCGCATGAATCATGGCTCTATTTAATATGCCAAGTTGGGGGCAAGGCTTATATTATAAATAGCTCAGTGGAGCCACACGACGGAGATTTTGTGTGGAGATCATTTTGTCTGCAGATCCTGTAGGTCGAATGATTTGTGTGAAACCAAAGCGTTCATGACTTTTACATTAGCGATTTTACATGAGTATTTATGGATGCAAATTGGAAGCGCTCATTCATATTAACGGATGAGAGACTGTGGAACTTAAGTACAAACGGACGCAGGCACAATTTAAAGCGGTCGAAGATTGTGAACCACAGTAACCGTGAAAATAAAGGCGTCTGTTGTGCGTGATACTGCTGTAACATTCTGGTAGCTATTACTTTTTAGTAGAGATACTACAGTTTGCTCTGTGAGTAGAATCTGTCCCATTTCTTCCAGCGGAACTGATATTTGCTTTGAATCACCCGAACGAGATCAACTACTAACCCTTCAGTGAATTTTACTGTGTTACTGTAGAAAGTGACTATCTTTGAGTTTTATAAAGCTCTTTAAGCAACTGTATCATTAAAGGGTCTCTTAAGAACATATTACGTGATCAGTACAGTTCTCACCGCAATTTCCCTGGCAAGCACTTTGAAACATTTTGGTGTTAGAGGCACTGTAGAGTAATTATAATTCTTCCATTTCTTGTCTATGCCTTTCTCTTTAATCTCCAGTGTTGCTCTCTCCAGTTATGTATGAAGCAGGTAGTTGACCTGAAATTCTACTCGTCTTAACCAAAAAGTTGTGTAGAATTGTGGGGTGTTCTTAAATTCACTCACAATTTAGAAGCCAATTTTCTGCAGCTTCCAAACTAAGACCAAAGTTAGGATGTGTTGCACAATTCTGAGCAATCTTGAATTCTAAAAGAAAATGCTTTTGCAGGCTAAGATTAAGAGGAATTTGGATTAATTCCGAGCTCGTATGTGAACAGTGGAAGATACGCTTTTACTCAATTGATTGAACTTTGGTTTTTTCTCTTATGTAACTGAACTGTGAGTTTAATTCTAACGTTTTTCACTCCTGCAGGATGGCATGGGGAACCTGAGAATCACTGACAAAGGCCTGCGGTTAGAAGGTCCCTCCGAGTTTTTGGAGACTTTGTATGCCAAAGAAATCCGATCCAAAGCAGTAAGTAACGAAAGTTTGTGCGAATTGAGGTGAACATTCAAATGGATCAAAATATCTGGATTCAGTGTTGAATAACTGATTACTGTTTCTCATTAATGAAAAGGGGTTTAAAACCAGACAGTGGCACGTAGCTCTCCGCTGACTACCACTGCGCACTTTACAAAACTGCAACCACACCCCGGGGGGAAAGACTTCAATTATAAAAGAATTAGAAAAGACAAAACAAAAAAGGCCACGGTGTGGGTATGTGTTCATCGAGATACTCTAAGTAACGCAAGCAGAATAGCAAGGAGAGAAGCACTTGGGAACTAAAGTCATTGATATTCTTAACACATTTGTTTTTCGTCAGCTGAAGGCATCCTGGTTAAATGATTGATAGCAGTGTATTTCTGACAGGCAGCAGGAAACCCAATCAACGCAATGGCGGGCGCTGGAGTAGACCTTGAATTGAAAAGCTGATCCACACAGTTGTCATCTCATGACAGTGATTCATAATGATCGTTCCTTTGTGTGTGTGTCTGTGCATGTGTGTGTATGTGGAGCTGATTTTTGCTTCAAATTCTAAATGCCCACTGTGTAGTGCCCATGTCTTTACACTCATAAAACAATCATTGCCCACATGCCAGTCTTAAAGAAGAGGTTCTGTAAGGAAATGATGTATTCATGAGGGAGAAAGGAATAGAGTTATAGGAGTCAGGAGGCTCATGTGGAATATAAAACACGATCATGGACCAGCTTGGCTGAATGTCTTGTTTCCATGCTGTCATATTCTATGCAATTCTCTATGAAAGAAAGATGCAGTTGGTACCTTATCATCCTTTGGATATGCCCAAGTTAATGGCATTGTTCCTCTCTAAATTACAGATCATCCAGATGCTCTCTTGTCAGTATTGAGCTGGAGCTGTTTTTCAGTTTGATCCAGGGTGCAATAAGAGAAAAATGTCCCATTTCGCAAACCGTTCATATTCCTTGTGCTGATCAGTACAGACATTGCTTTCCTTTCAGGCACATTGAGAACCCAAACTTACGATTCTTTATTCATCTAAAGTTTTGTTTTCTTGTGAGTGATACATTTGGAAAATTTATGGAAATCAGAAGACTCATCTGAGAGGCCAGCTGCTGCGATATGACTAGTGGCGTTTTCCGAATTAACTTGGACTTGCCAAACAACATAATTCATGAACGACTGTAGGAGCCATCTGCTGGGTCATAAATCATGAAAAAAAAAACTCTGGAGGCAATCATCTGCGCAGCTCCATTGTCCATGGCATCTCATGCCTTCCTGTGGTGACATCATGTAGCCGAGAGGAGAGGAGACCTGTTAGGTTTGGAGAGGGGCTTGCTTCGGGAGAAGGTGAGATGCTTTGGGAGTGTTTCTGACTGTCAGGTTGGCTCAGCCGGTAACACTTGTACCTCTGAGTCAGAAAGTGGCAGGTTCGAGCCCTAGTACTTTGAGCTCACTTTGAGCGTTGGCTGATCCTGTGATGTAGTACTGGAGAAGCACTGAGTTTGTTGGATACCATCCTTCGCTTGAGATGTTAAACTGAGATCCCATCTGCCTGTTCAGGTGGATGTGGTACTATTGTTGCTGTTTTGCCTTTGGGACGTCCTCCCGACGTGAAAAGCGCTATATCAAATGCAAGGATTATTATTATTATTATTTCTGTGCGATTGGCTTTCAGTCAGCGATGCTGTTTCCTCCACAACAGTCAACAGGAAGCGAAGTTTGCCGCACAGCTGTGCATTGGGCATAAGGGTTTGAAAGGAATGCGAGTGTGTACGAAGCAAAGGTGCTTCCTGTGAACTTTCTCCTGTTCATCAAACAGACGGCATGAGTCATCGGTGACAAACAAAACGTGTAGCGAGGCTGCGCTGGTGAATTAGACAACAACTACTACAACAACAACTTGCATGTGTATAGTGTCCCTCACGCAGTATAGCATCTCAGAGTCCTAGACAATGGCGGAGCCTGTCGCTGAACCTGGAGGTGGTGGGTGAGGGAGGTGACTCTAAGAGGAAGGTCTTCAGGTGCGACCTGAAGATGGGGAAGGAGGGATACGACCTCATGGCCACGTTCTCTGAGACAATTAAAATGTCTATTCGTTCAGTAATGTGAACAATCAGTTTCCAAAAGGCTATCAATACTGTAAAGCTTTTTCCTGACATATAATGTTATTAATTGCCTCACGCAAATCCAGTTCACATCACTTCCTTGTGCTAATAATTCTTGTTAAAACTCACTGGTTGGGGTTCATAAAATCCTTTGGCTTTAAAGATGTCTCTTTCACGGTGTTTGTTCTTTCTGGATTTCAGTAGATTCGCTCAGCTGTCTTGGGGCATCAGTGTGACCCTTGTGCCCTCCGTTCCATCATTGGTGGCCGTGCTTTCAGCCACTGCACCCCGAAACTCTGGAACATTCTTCCTCTATCCCTCTGCCTTGCCCCTTCTTTCCCCATCTTCAGGTCGCGCCCAAAGACCTTCCTATTCAACCGTGCCTACGGTCACCTTCCCCTCGCCCTGGCTCGGCGTCGTGTTTTGCCACTGTCAAGTGCTCTGGGATGCTACCCTGTGTGAGGGTCGCTGTGTAAATGCAAGTTGTTGTCCTTGTTGCCTTGCTCCCCTCTTTGCCCATCTTCAGATCACACCTGAAGACCTCCCTCTTGGTTCGTGCCTACGGCATCAAACACGTTAAATGCTCGGAGACACTATCCTGCGTGAAGGGCATTATACAAATGCAAATTATTGTCGTTGGTGGTGAATAATTACAAGTGGGGGCTTCATGACATTGCTTTGTAACAATGATAATATTCTCCTGAACGAGGCATGGGAAAGGGTTGTCTGAAGTAACTCACTGACATTGGCAGCTCTCCCTCTCTCACACACACACACACACACACGCGCGCCGGTTAAGTCATTTAGTAGGTCACGCAGAAGATATCTGAGAAATCAGTTGTGTATAGTTGGAACTCCAGACATCTACTCTCGGGACTGTGTGTGCATGTATGTCTCTTCAGACACATCGTCCTCTCATTGAACTGTTGCTAATTCATCAGATTCCCCCAGCATGATCCAACAGTGTCAAAGGCCTGCAGAGAGATGCTGCTTGTGGTTCTCTCTCCAGATATTCCCACCACTCTTCCCCCCTGTATGCACAAGTTCAAATACAGTTAACCATTTACTGAGCCAGACTTGCAATACATTGGCTATTGCCCTTTGGTACTAAGGTATGTGATTTCTCCAGCTCTTCCTGGAGGGGATAATGATTAAGCAGGAGAGAGTCAGCGGATCGAGTGTTGTGGAGCCACTTATGTCTGGTGTTAGAACTGATAAGATGTACAGAACGTGAGCTCCTCTGTTAAATTGCCAACCGCATTTGGCAGTATTGCTTTCAGACATTACAAGGGATTCTGGTCTGAAAGATTTGCTATCCGATTACAACAACCTTCACCGATGCTAATTTTGTGCAACAGAATAAAGCAGTCTGTGGGAAGAGAGCCTCTGAAGATGTCTATCAAGTCAGCTTCATTTCTCACTGCTTTCCTGTGGTATTTATGTTCCTCCATCTGCATCTTATTTTGTGCTCTGTTCCAAGTCCTCTCTTTCGCTTTGTGTGGTTGTTCCTGAGGTTCATTTCAGTCTCACCGCAGGGACCACACTGCACATCACCTGCTTTGAAGCACCTTGAGTTACATAGAATGTTACAGCACGGAAACTGGTAGTCTGTGCCTGTGTCTATACTCCACACAAGCCTCAACACCTTGCAATAATAATAATAATCCTTGCGTTTGGTACAGCGCCTTATCAGGTCTTTGAGACGTCTCAAAGCGCTTCACAGGATATACTGTAGAGTGAATTGACTTGTGATTTGTGAGCGAATCCCTCCCGCCATCCTCTATTCCCTTCTCTCTCAAGTACGCATCAAGTTTCCCCTTAAATACATTGACATCTGCTTGAGCTTCAGCTTTTGGCAGTGAGTTCCACACTCTCACCATCCTCTGCCTGAAGAAGTTCCTTCTGAACTATCTTTCAGATCCACTGTAGAATATCACAGAGAGTTCCAATAGAAAGATATTTTAAGGAAAGTAGCTGGCCTGCAATGTAATTCTTCAGGGCGTGGAATATTTTATTATACTTGGATCAAACGATGGCGAAAAACTACTAGCAATTCTATCAAAATACAAAATGCACGGTCTCTACACTTTACAGTATATTCTGTGAAGCGCTTTGAGATGTCTTGAAGACGTGATAAGGCGCTGTATCAAATGCAAGGATTATTATTATTATCATATGTCACGCCCTTCATTCGGGTAGCGTCTGGGAGCACTCAGGGGCAAGTGTTCCTTCCCTATCTGTTTCAGATAGTTATTCCCAGCGGAGAGATCAAGGTGACTGAATAGTAATCATTTTGGCCAGTGAGTGGAAACAAAATCCATATTCTCAATAACTTCCTACTAATGTTTTGCTCAGTTGCTGATGTAATGTAATACATCAATAAATCCACTTATCTTGCAAAATTGTTTCTGTAAAGTGGCTTTGTTTTCTCAAATGGGTCCTCCCTCGCTTAATATTAGTGAACGTAAGGAAATCTCAACAGCAATTATGCTTTTTTTTTTCTCTCTTTTAGGACAGATCGCTTTACTTGCAGTCTTCTAAAAATGTTACAGTGAGCGTCCGTAATGAGCAGAATGAGATTGTTACCCAGCTAATTACAGGTAAGCCGAAAGAGCGGGCAGTCAGGAGTCAGCCTGGCTCAGTCGGTAGCAGTGTCGCCTCTGAGTCAGAAGGTTGTGGGTTCAAGTCGCGTGTTGGGACCTTGAGCTCACAGTTTATACCGTCACCGCAAGGAAAGGTGGTCGAGGCCAGACTGCTGGGTTCGTTTAAGAAGCAGCTTGATGTTGTGATAGGTGGACTTTAGGATGGATGGGTTTGCTGGAGAGTTGAGGTCAAAAGGGACAGAGGGTACACTTCATCGAAAGATATCTTCGGATCTAGTTGATGTAGTGACTTTGCGAATAGATTGTTGCGCTCGGCCATTGGGCGCAGACCTTAGAGCTGGCACAGCTCCAGCTTACTCTGCCCTTGCCGTAGCTTTGCATAGACAGATAAATGAGAAGAATGCTAAGGGATTCCGAATCCCTGACTGTCCAGCGCCTTGGCACATCCTCTTGACATGAAAGGCGCTCTCCAGATGTAATTGTTGTTGTTGGGCTGTTACCAGCGCACTGTCTTGTAACGATTGGTGTTTGCCTACAGGGAGCGAAGCTGTGGAGGCACACGGCAAGCGGTTCGAGGTGAACTCAAACACGGGGAAGCTGCTGTTTTCGGCAGAGGAGGGTGAAGTGGTTGTCGGCGCTGAACGCTTAAGAGTTTTAGGTAAAGTCATTCGTTCACTCGCTCAACTGCGAACCTCTCCAAAAAACCCGTCTTCCTTGTAAATCCGCTCTCGGGCCAGGCTTCTGTGCACCTGCTTGCCATCAGCTTTGGCCACTTACAAGGTTTACTGTGAAGTGGAGACACTGGGATGGATAAAGCAGCAGCCCAATTGCACACAGCAATATCCCACAAACAGCAGTGAAACTAATGACCAATTTTATTGGNTTAACCAAAGCATTGGTATCTTTAACGCCCACCTGAGCAGGCAGACAGGACCTTTTTAAAGTTCATGGTTGTTTATTGGACATTGCTGTGCGCAAATTTGCTGCCACGTTGGCCTACAGAAATATAAAGTCACTACACTTTGCCGTAAATCCTTTGAGACGTCCTCCTGACGTGAAGGGCGCTCTGTAAATGCAAGTTGTTATTGTTAATATTATTCAGATGTGATATTTCAACAAGAGTGGAAGAACACATTTTCTGAAAAAAGGCAACTTTTTTTTCCCCCTGTTCAAAAAGTAAAGTAATAGTATTTTTACATTGAACTTCTAGGGTGAACCTTAACTCATCACATCAGCAAATATCATAGAATCATAGAATTATAGAGTATTACAGCACAGAAAGAGGCTATTCAGCCCATCGTGCCTGTGCTTTGGAAGAGCTACCGAATCAGTCCCACTCCCCTACCTTTCGCCATCAATATCAACAGTGAAAAGTCGGATGGATTTGTCTGCACCGTAGGCTGGTCTCAAAGATTACAGGCAACGAGGATGAAACAGATTGCACTGTAATATCTGATCCTTTGCTCCAGGAAAAAATACACAGCACGACTTCAACATGCGATCTGATTTATGAGAGAAGATGGCTCTCAAAAGGAATAATTACTTCTGATTAATGTGTAAACCCAGTCAAAGTATAACAGCCAGATGCCAATTGGCCTGGATTGCCTGCTTTTCCTTTGGGTTGGGGTAAGGAAACAATTACAATGAAAAATAAAGTCGCTTTTTAAAGTTGCCGGTGTTATATCAAGTGATCATCAATTCCCCTAAGAGGTCATTAGGAGTTTAAATATTTCAGTGAAGCATTTATTTTCGGTTGCTTCTCATATCACCCATTGTATTTGATTGGCTTCAAAAAAACCCTCGGGATGATTTATTCCAAACTGCTTTATGGCCAATTTTTTTTGGATTGTAGAACTTTTTAATGCACAGGATTTATGTAACCAAACCTAACTCAGAACACAATGGATAGGATTAGGCTATCTATACCTGGGCTCTGTCAACACCTATGATTTACCTGAATTAGCGAACTACAATTGGAGTTAAAGGAGCTCATTGATTGTCCTTTCGCTCCTGAGTCAGAGGGTTCAAGCCCCACGTCAAGACTTTGAACTCGCGTAGGTTAAGCTGGTACTCTAAAGCAGTCCTGGTGGGGTGTGGGTGTTGTATTGTCGGATTTTCCGTCCTTCAGATGAGACGTTAAACAAGGTCCTGTCTGCCTGTTTAGATGGACATTAACACTCTGATGGCACTACTTGAAAAGAGGAGGGAGTTTCTCCTGATGTCCTGACTAACAACAGATACTCCAGATACAATTGGCCATTCATTTCATGGCTGTTTGTGGGAGCATCTGAGCAACTGGGCTGATATGTTCATGGACAAATGTACAGTCATTCCACTTCACAGTTGATCCTGTCAAGTGCTTTGGGACATTCTCATGATGTGAAAGGTGCTAAAACAAATGCAAGGATTATTATATTGATAATGGAATGATTATCTCGGTGAGAAAGGACTTATGATGCTGGGTTTGGACTTACATTCTTTACATCCAGTGCCAGATTCCACATTCATCCACCCAATCCAGAGTCACACCACTTTACAATACATACTGTGAAGCCTGTGAGATGTTTGAACGACTTGATAAGGCTCTGTATCAAATGCAAACATTATTATACAATAGCATCGGATAGATGCTTAGTATAACTCCCGCATTCAGTCCCAACACCGCCTGCCTTAACTCCAACCTCCCCCAAAATCAGTACTTTTATCACCAGCGTTGCTTTCCTGTTTCTCATCTCAGCTACAGACGTTCCAATTGTGGCTGACAACTTCTTGTCAATTTAAGTTGAATTATGGGTGGTTTTGTGCTGTAGACTTAGTTTATATAGAAATGAAGTATGAGACATTTATAAGTAGAAAGGATGACTGGATGGCTACTTACTGCAAGCGCACAGATATAGCTCTAGCGCCTGCAGTGCTGGGCATCACACTGCTATTATTCCATATAGAATGATGAATTTAATCATTACGGGCTGTTGGGTTGAATCCAAGCAGAGACAGCATCCCAGTGGAACCAGTTAAGGTGGAATCCTGTGTGTGATGACATTCATTAGGTTTTGGAGACAGCTTCTGGCTGGTTCTCGAGGTGACAATGTCGGCTCAGCGATTCTCTTTCCCCCTAACCCACCCCCCCCACAATCTCGAAGTGGTTAGTTAGCACGCTCGCCTCATAACCATTTAACTAATTCAGTATTGAAGTATGGCAGAAACTGTAATGTCCTGATATACCTTCATTAACATCTACTCGTCTTTCCCTGCAGGTGCAGAAGGAGCCGTGTTTGATAGTTCTCTCGAAACACCACATATCCGGGCTGAACCTTTCAAACAGTTACGGTATGAAGCCCACCTTTCATTGACAATTTCCCTTCTATCTTCCCGTTCCTCATTCTGTCCTTCTTTGTTTTGTTCCTTCCTGTTTTTCTTTCCTCCCCTCTTCCCCTGCTGTTTTCATTTCATTTTCTCTTTGCTGGGCATCAGTGGTAAATTGCATGTCAGCTGATTTTATCCTTCATGTCGACTGTTTTTTGAGGGCAAAACGATATATATGCTATTTATTATTTTGGCCCTCAAAATGCACAGTCAATTCACTTGACCACATATTCTGTAAAGCACTTTGAGACGTCTCAACAATGCGATAAGGCGCAATATCAAATGCAAGGATTATTATTATTATTATACTTATGCAAGAACAAAAATTTACATTTTCCTCTAGGTGCTTCACAGAATTTACTGTAAAGTGTAGTGACTGTATTTTGTAAAGTGCTCTAAGTTCAGTTCCTCTATGTTTGATTGGTGCTTAGTGCCATTATGTGTTCATATAGATATAATTTTGAGTAATAATAATAATCCTTGTATTTGATATAGCGCTTTTCACGTCGGGAGGACGTCCCAAAGCGCTTTTCACGTCGGGAGGACGTCACAGAACACACTGTAAAGTAAATTGACTGTATATTTGTGGGCGAACGCGGCAGCCAATTGCGCACAGCAATGTCCCACAAACAGTCGTAGATTGAAAATGACCAATTTATTATTGTTTTTGGTTTTTGGAGGGATTATTATTAGGCTCTGTGTGGAGTAAGGAAACTGAGCTACAGGACTCCAGAGTAGGAGTGGACCAAGGGTTTCCTTCGAAATATCAATCTCCAAATCTAATAACTTTTAGTTGACAGGAACATGTCGTGTTCTGTTTTTGAAACTCTTTGTAGTGTCTTGTTAAACCACCTGATACAGTTTATTCCACATTCCTATCAGCCTTTCACCACAATAAATCTCTCCTTCATTTCTTTTTCTCTTTAAGGTCTTCAATTTGAAGATCCTAAATAATAATTTGGTCACTCAATCCAAGACTATTTGTGGGATCCTGCTGTGCGTAATTTGCTGCCACATTTCGTCCACAAAATATACAGTCGCTACACTTTACAGTGTGTAATGTGAAGGTATCTGAGACGTCTCAAAGACTTGATAAGGCATTGTATTAAATGCAAGGATTATTATTATTATTACCTGACCCTTATCACCTTTGTTGCCTTAATACTTCTTATTTTCATGTTCCTCCCTTTCTATGTGTACTCCTAGTCTCTCTTCCATTCTCTCTCTCTCTCTCTCTCTCTCTCTCACTTTCTTCTCATTCCCTGTGTTGCTCAGATCAATATTTGGACCTGCATCAAAAAATAATTAAGCTGAGATCTCATTAGAGGAAATTAACAGGTGTACAATAATGTAGATGCCCTGGAGTTTACCACACTCAGAACTGTAATTAGGTTTGGTATTAAACTGCTCACTAACCTTGGGAGGAAAAATTGTAAAGAAATTCTGCGCTTGGAAATAAAAATGTGAATTATGGATGTTTCACAGCTGATAAGAGAAGCTTTGCTGGTGGAATGTAAACACATCACTGCTCTCTCTAAAAGTTAATGAGGATTTGTGGCTGTCCCTTAATAACACAACAAATTGGTTACAGCGACTTGCTTATTCACTCTAGTCTGCCAGAGAAACAGATTTAACAGTCTCCAGGATTAATCTAGAGGAACAAAACAGCAACGCTTATACGTTTGTAACATCGACGCTATAAGCAGTACCGCTAAATCTGCAGTGCCACACGGTTAAGCTCTCGAAAACTACACACAGGGAGCTGAAAATTGCTCCACTAACATTCCCCGGGTACCGGGTTTAATCCATCCATTTAATCCTTTCACGGCAGGTGGATGTCTCAAAGCGCTTCACAGGATTTGCTGTAAAGTGTAGTGACTGTGTATTTTGTTGGCAAATGTCTTTCAAAGATGTCTTTCAGACTATCCTTCTTGGGTGGGGAGGGGTGGGGGAGCTAAGTGCGATCTCCTTGGAGGTGAACTGGCTAGTGATGACAGCACAGCTAGCCTAGCTCATCGGCAGGACTTGGAAAGCCAGACCAGTCACAGGGAATCATCCTATTCAGGTCCTGTTAATCCTGCAAGCCAAGGCCCTAACGGGTAGAGTGGTCCAAGCTGGACAAAGAGCAGAAAAGCTTACCAGACAAGGCACTGGAATTCATGTTTGAAGAACCACCAGATCCGAGTGTATTGTGATCCTGCCCATCATCTGCTCATCCGAGTTTGATCTGAAATCCGGGTCTCAGAGGCTATATCACTGTAGTTCTGAGTCCTGGCGTTTGAAGCCATTTTTGAAGTTAGTGCAGCCACAGTTGCATGCCAAGAGGGGAGAGGGAGGTTGGCACACAGTGCTTTGGGAGCCAGATGCTGCCAGCGTTATGCCAAGGGAGTAGCACAGATTTGGCACTAGTCAGTGATGGGTGAGATAGAGATGGAGGAGATACTGGCAGCAGAATGCCAAAGGGACACATTAGTGGCACTTTGCCAAAAGACAGAGATGTTGGCAGCAGAGTAGTGATAGAAAGATAGGGACATTATCATCAGTATATCAGCAGAGAGGGGAGAGTTGCAGTATTTGGGGGATGGAGATACATTGACAGCATTTCTCTAAGGGAGAGGAATACAGGAGGTATTGTGCTAAGACAGACAAAATCGTGCCAAGAAAGACTCTTCCCTCGAGTGCTATAAATATATTGAAACACATCTGTCCATGGTGTAGGTAAATACATAGAATCCTTAGAAACTTTACTGAACAGAAGAAAGGCCATTTAGCCCATCATGCCTGTGCTGGCGCTCGTTTGAGGGATCTGCAGCAAATAAAATGTGTAAATACTTAATCTCATCAACAAATTACAGACGAAACAGATAATAATAATAATAATCCTTTCATTTCATATAGCACCTTATCACGTTGTTGAGATGTCTCAAAACGCATTACAGGATTTACTGTAAATGGCGTGACTGTGTGTGTTTTGTGGGCAAACAGGGCAGTCAATTTTCACTCAGCAGTGCCTTACAGACAACCAAAGGATGAATGACCAATTTTATTTGGGGGATTGTTGACCAAGACACCAACAGGGAGAAACTTCCCTGTTCTTTTCGAATGGAATTTAGTGCACACCACAAAATAAGAAAAAAGTGAACTCATTGGGAAGTTACTCAGTTTCAGGCAGTACAGTCTATGCCCTGTACCTTGAATGCCTTGTATCTTAGAAGGCATCTTCACCATATGCTGCCTCCCTTCTGTGCTGACTGCGTTATATTAGTACCTCTGATAGCCCTGCAGTGCCCGGCCGGGACATGAAAGCCAGAGACTTGGCACATCTCGCAAGTTCCATGACCGTGCGTAAATGAGAAAATGCAAAGTAGAATTTCAAAGCGCTTTGTCTGTTTTTATCCCCAGTCCACGTATCACAAGACAAAAAAAAANGTTCCGTTTTCTCTTGTGATGTTTAGTACATGGCTGCCTATCCACTTTGACTAATTCCGTCCACTCTTGGGGAATTTAATCTTGTTTGTTATGTGTTGCAATTTAACAAGGTGTAAATATTAATCAGGCACAGACTGTTCAAGTCTACAACACAAGTGAATTTCCACACCCTGGTGCTCTTAAGATATCACTGGAAGGTCAACAATTTAATCCCAGTTTTAAATATGTTAATTTATTTGTTGTTTGAATTTTAGTGTGTATAATTTATGCAATTATTCGGATATCGCTGTGGGTTATATCCCTGATCTGAATCTTTATAGGATTGGAGTTTAATTAGCCAGAGAATACCTCATTAGAAACTGAATGTTGGCAGAAATTAATTAATAAGTACCAGGAGCGATTTCCAAATTTTATTAATTGATGATTAATATAATTCAGATTCATTTGAGACATTCCTAAACGAGAGTTCAAGTTTTGTGTGCATTAATTGCATAAAAAGACTCCCAACGGTAGCAATTCTGATCATCTGAGAATCCTAGAATATGCACTACTTAATCTGAACCGATCTTGTAATAACAAGTAGTTCAGTTTTGGATTCTTTTGTTTCGGTATCCTTGCTGCAGTCTGTTCAAAGAAGGAGTTCCAATCTAATTAGACTTTCTCCCCTCTGTGAAGAATATCAGAACATTTTTGTGGCCAAGATGCTACCCGTGTGAAGGTCGGCCTATAATTGAAAGTTGTTACCGTTGTTGGGTGCCAATCCAAGAACTCCAGTAACAGAAGAAAGATGTGTTGGTAGCACTCTTGTCTCTTGAGTCAGAAGGTTGTGGGTTCGAACCTCATGCCAGGACTCTGAACTCACATACTCAAGGCTGACACTCCAATGCAGTGCTGTGCGTGTGCTGCATTGATGGAGGTGCCATCCTTTGGATAAGACGTTAAACTGAGGCCCTGTCTGCCTGTTCAGGTGGACGTTAAAGATCCAATTGCACTACACAGGAAAAGGGAGTTTCTCTCGGTTTCCTGGCCAACAATCCCCTAGATAACATCGGTCATTCACAAACATGCTGGCGTGGGACTTTGCTGCGTGCAAATTAGCTGTTGCGCTCACCTACAAAATACACAGTCACTACACTTCACAGTATATCCTTTGAAGTGCTTTGAGACACCCTCCCAACGCGATAAGGCCCTACATCAAATGCAAATCATACACAAGAGCTGACAGAATCAAACATAGAAAGGAAGTTCATCAAAGGTGAACGATAATAGTCCGAAAGGGCTACTGTTCCCTCAGGCTGTCTGACTGAACATATTTATTATCCCTTGCTGAGATTCATATCATCCTCTCAGCCTTGAAAATGGCTCTACAGGAGATTCGAATGACTGTTGGGTGAGACTTGTCTCTCCATGTTATACCCATTCAGTAACTCGCCACTGCAGGCCAAATGACAAATAATAATTCTTCTTCTGGCCCTAGACTGGAATCGCCCACACGCTCTCTCATAATGGAGGCACCAAAGGGAGTGGAGATCGATGCAGAGGCGGGTGACTTGAAAGCTCTTTGTCGAAATGAGCTGAAATTGGAATCTGAAGATGGTGAGGTGGGTACCTAAAGACTATTTTTTTTCATATCATTCCCTCCTTCGGAAAACTTCATTCCACACAAACATTTATTGACCCGAAATTGCACCTACTCCTAGCCTGTAAGACTGTTTGGCTTTGGCAAAAGACTATTTGAGATCGAATCCCACTACTGTGCAGTGCTGTTAGACTCTGTCCTGAATAAAGGGCGTTGTACTTACATAGAAACTACAACACACGAAAAAGCCATTTGGCCCAACCAGTCTGTGCTGCTGTTTGTACTCCACATGAACTCCATCCACTCCTTATTCCATCTCATGTCCTTCTATTCCTTTCACCTTCATATATATAACTGCATGTTAAATTTAAGATTGCGCTGAATATTTTAAAACTCTTAATTTCTGTCTTTTTCTAAGAACTGCGGAAAAAAGGCTTCCAAATTAAGACCGAATTTTCCTCCTTCCTAAATTTTAATAATGATGATAATAATAATCCTTGTATTTGATATAGCGCCTTATCACATCATTGAGATGTCTCAAAGAGCTACACCCTGTAAAGTGTAGTGACTGTGTACTTTGTGGGCGAAACAAAAGGCAAAATGGTCTTGCAGGCTAAGACAAGGTGGAATTTCGGGCCTTATTATTATTATTATTATATTATAAAACCCCATACTTGTGCTTCTCCAGGGGACTTTAACAAATGCATCCTCTCCTAGTCAGTAAGCGTTCAGTCATCTCAGCATTAATATACGCCAAGATTCGGATGCTTCTAAATCAACGGGTTTCTGAAATGCTCACTTTGGGAACTGTCGAGGGTATAGTTTCCATGGAATTAACGTCAAGTCTTAAAGTTCTGCTTTATTCCTTCTCCACGGATTTAAATAGTGTGACATTGTTCGGAATTAACATCGGCTCACTGGCATGGAGCCAGCGATATTCTTGCCTCTTCAGTACATTCAACTCTCCAGGGGGCTATTTAACATGGATTCTTCTGTCAGATTGCTGGCTCTGTTGTCAGAAACACAACTCTTGTTTTCTTGAGTGAGATAATTACATTGCCTATTGATTTGCGGCACGGAAGTGTAAGCTCAGGTGGAAAAACATTAACAAATTCTCCTTATGATTCTCAATTTTATGCTGCGAAAGAAAGAGAAGGTGGAAAAAGCAAACCCGAGACAGAAATGACTCCAGGGATTAATAGACCTCAAGGTGTAATTAGGCAGAAAATTAATGACTCTGTTATTATAGATCTTTTTTTTCTTATCATTTTCAATCGCTGGAATGAACTAAGCAGCAGTCAGCAGACTTAGGAAATGAAAGCTGGTTAGGTGACGAACATGTAGAGAGAAGGGGCTAAGAGTTCTCACTGTCTAGAGATTTCAGCCACCACCTTTTAGGAGATGTGCCTGTATATCAGGTAGTCTGGGTTTGGGTGGCCCATTTTCCCTAGCTTATAGTTGAGTTGAGAAAGCACTGGTTGTTGAGAGCCATTGACTGACGTGAAAGAAACACAGATCTGAAAGGCAACAAAAGTAGAGCACACAGTTTGGCGATGAGCTGAGGGCATTCAGGAGATACAGTAAATTACATAGAACATTACAGCTGGGAAACAGCTGGCCATTCGGTCCAACTAGTCACAAAAGGCTCTCTCCCTCCTCCTAATTCCCTCTCCTATACACCTCTATTTCCTTCTGCAGTACGTTTCCTCTGAAATATTATTGATGTGTTTTGCTTCAATGACGGAAATTGACAGTGAGTTCCAGATTCGTGCCACTCTGTATCAAAAAAAGTTCGTTGCAAACCCCTTTTTTACATTTATGCCTCTCGTTTTGAACTCACCAACAACAGGTGAACATCAATAGGCCCTTTCATAATCTTAAACAAAGAGTAATTTCAGGACAGAGACTAGGAAGAGTTTTTTTTTAATTAGCGACTTGAACAGGTTACCAGGAAGGGTGATTGAGGCCAAGGCACTTGGACTTGTTTCAAAAACAGCTTGATGTTGTGATGGGGAGACAGTAGAGTGGGTGTTCTGGAAGGTTGAGATCAGATGGGCCAGAGGACCTTCCTCACCCAATCCAGCCTTGTGAGCTTTATCAGGTCCCGTCTCAATCAAGAAATAGTTAAAGGTCACACATCTCAGACCTTATTTTTTTCTTGCTGACCTTTGGAAGCAGATTCAACGACTCTGTTTTACTCAATCTGTGCTTTTCTTTCCAGATCATTCTGGACGCCAGGAATATAAAATTACCGAGACTACCTAAAGGCACGTACACACCCTCAGCAACTGGCCGACAGAATGTCTTTGAGGTTTGTGTCTGCCCCAATGGAAGACTCTTTCTCTCACAATCTGGGACAGGCTCCACGTGCCAGATAAACAACAGCATTTGTCTATAAGAGGAGAACAATGAACCCACACATGAGCGCTACGTCCCGTCAGCAGCTCTGAGGTCTTTTTCGGATACAAAATGGTACCCCACGAGGGAACTGTATGACAGCTTGGTTGCTGTCTGCATCGTGGAAGAAGGCCTCTTAAACGGACACTTTGAGCTGACTGCATTTGTCCTCCCCTTTTCAATATGACGTTTCAGTATAGGGGAGACAAATGAAAAACCATCTATACTGGGACGTGTTCCAACCAACATCTCTGTTCAAAGAGGGAGATGAAAGAACGCCTTTGCCTTAACTGAATGCACTCAGCAAGGAAAGCACATTATTTTTCATTTTTATGGGTGTTATTAGGAGTGCACCGATTACAAAACACACGGCTTGCAAGGTTGAAACCCTAATATGTATCGGATGCAAAAATCCAGTGATTAACCGTATTCGGAGTGTCTCGAGGAACTCAGTTGAGAACCGGGAAGACGGCCTGGGGGTGGGGGGGGGGGGGGGCAGTAGAATATGTTTTTTTTTGGTTATAACATTGATGGGGAGAAATATCCATCTGGATCTATTTATATAGCATTTCAGAGCATCCAGAATTTGATAAATTCTTAAGCACAGCCTTAATTTTGAAGCTGCTTTCTTTTAAGAACTAGAAGAAAAACATCTGCAAAGTTAAGACTGAAGTCAGCAATTTGCCAAACTCGGGATGCTGTAAAAGATTATGTAACCAGAGTAAATCAAGACCTGGGTGGGAATTCTCTTTCATGACTCTGTTATGAAATGCTGCGTTTTTCACCCGAGAAAGCCGGCTTAAATATGCCTTTCGAAGAAAGCAGCCAAAAAAAAATCCTTGTTAGGAGTGTTTGTTTGAGAAATATCTTGTATTAACAAAGCAAAATGATTTTACAGCCCTATATCTAACAAATTGCAAAGTCTACGACGCAGTGATTGTGAGAAGCGTAATCGATGCACTCCTAGTGTGTATGTTACTTGCGTGTTGTAGTAGATAACTAGAGAAAAAAATATTTTGGGGTTTTATATATATATATTATATATATATTTTATGGCTTTGAGTACAGAGTAAGAAGGAGTTACAGACCAAAGACTGATGGGAATTCAGCCACACAGTCCACGTATTGAATGGTGCTTATTACCCATGGTTTCCTGAGGCCTGACTCAACGCTGACTTATGTCCTGCTAACAGATTTGAGACAGTAAGAGTTTCTCGTGGGCAATATTTTGCAACAAGAGTAAATGCAGTGGAAATCTCTTAGGGACAGTCACAGGTGAGGGCAGGTGGGGATAGTTCTTATCTGTCAATAGGAAAGAAATGAAAGGTTAATTTGACCGCAAGTTAAAATAGGTTTGGAGTCAGTTTCAAGCAACAGGCATAACTCCCAAAACATTAAGAAAAAAAACAATTTCACAACAAATCAAATCCAAACAGATTTTAGCTACCAAAAAGGTAAGGATTTTGCATTGTTTTCCTGTTGAAACTTTGAACTCATATAGTCTAAGCTAATGTTCGGGTGCAGTGCTGGGGGGAGCGTGATATTGTTGGAGATGCCATCCTTCAGATGAGATGTTAACTGAGGTCCAGTCTGTCTGCTTAGGTGGGGGTTTAAGATCCATGCCATTATTTGTAAAGAGAAGGGAATTTTAATCCGGTTTCCTGGCCAACCATTCCTCAAATACAATCGGTCATTCACTTCATGGCTGTTTGTGGGACATTGCAGTGTGCAAAATTGACTGTTCTGTTCATCAGTTTGAGCTTCACACACACACACACAAACAAATCCAGTGCTCAATGGATGCTAAGTCAAGCCTGTAAATTCAATGTTTTTTTTACCTTTCAGTTGTGCCCGCACAATCTTGGAACAGATTTGCTTCACAATTATCTTTTCCCTATCTATACAATCTCCAGGCAAATGCAATCCTCAGTCAATATCGTTCTTTTAGCTTACCCACATTTAGCTTGGCACACTTTATAATTGAGCTGGAGCAAAACTCAGTCTCTATCCCAATTTATTCTCATTCAAGCAGACTTCCGCTTATTATTTTGGTGTGCACTTCACAATTTTTCTAGTAAACATAATGGGTCCCATGTCGAACCTGTTCATTTTGTAAAGATTAAGGTGATTTTTTGGCTTTTGTTTAACATGGAAATCTTCATTTTGAAGGACAGGGTTTCTTTTTTGGGGATTATCACAAATGGTGCTCTGCTTTCTCTTCGGATCAAAAGGGTCTTTTTATTCGCACAAAAACCTCTCTTTGCTCTTTTGCTGTCAAATGGTTTTTGGACTTAAAGCTTGGATTTTTTTTATTGACAGTTGTAAAGTGCACTGAGACATTTTAACGATATAGACACGATAGCTCTTTGAAATTCTGAAGGTTTTGATCGAATCAATAGGAAGAAATTATTTCCACTGGTCAGTGAGTCAGTGACTAGAGGGCATAGAGTTAATATCCTAAGCAAGGGAGCAAAGAGGGAGATTAAGATGTATCTTTTACACAGAGAGTTACTAGGATGTGGAATGCCCTGCTGGGAGTGATGAGCTAGGAAGTATCCATATTAGCTTTCAAGATGGAACTACTGTGGATAAATAGCTTAAAACGATTAGAAAAATGGGACTGATAGGATTGCTGCTCTTTCTAAGAGCCAGCACAGACACAATGGGCTGAATGGCCTTCGTCTGTGTCGCAAATTTCTATGATTCTATCAAATGCACCAATTACGAATGCCCTCCCACCCCTCCCCCCATCCCCCCCCCCACCCCCAACTCCAGCCAGCTCATCTCATTGAATAATCACCTCGAACAAATGATACTTTAATATTGCAATGTTTAAATGCTAGTGTTCGCACCTAGTACTAAAGATATCCAAATAGAAGCCTGATTCCAGCACTTTGGAGAGCTCTGTGGAGTTTTGATGAGATACAAGTATTGTGGTTACCAAGTGTTCTCTACCAGCAGAGCAGAGACATGGCACATCAGTCCTCACCGTGATGGAGATCACCACACCTAACAAGTGTGGACTCGATTTCCCTTCTTGGAAACCCAACGACTTATTTTCCTTTGAGGAACGCCAAAGGTTTCGTTTGACTCTAGAATATGAAAACTTTCAGAGGGTTATGATTCATGCTTTGCAATTCCTCCCAATTCTTCTTCTGTTTCATCACCCCAGCCCCGAGCACTGGGAAACATCAGGAATCGTTCCTCCAAAATTTATATCTTCCATTGCTGGAGTGGAGTGCTGCATAGTCATTATGGAACAGATGTGGCCGTGTTATTTTAATACAGAACAGCTGTCTGCCTCTGACATATCCGCCTCTGGACATGCTGGGAGCAATACCCACCCCTCGAAATGTGTTCACTGCGTACTGTCCCTCTGTAATTAATGAAGAGCTCCTAATGAGTAAATCCTTCTACATTTTCAGTCTACGCTGCAAGAACCAACTTTTTTTTCTAATGATTCCACCGCCAAGAGGTTCCAAATGGTCAGCACTTATTCTGAAAGTGTGCACTTTTAATGATCAAGCATTGGATCTTTTATACGTACTTACCGATGTGACCAATCGTTGGACATCATAGCTATTTGATGTGTGATTTTGTTTCTGGTGGTGTCTCAATGAACTGATACTCAGAGACAGAGAGAGAGCAGACACATGAGGTTCCAGTATACAGCTCCCAAGTGGAGCTAATTTGACACAGACACAATGAGCCAAAGGTCTCTTTGTGCACTGAAAGAGTATTAATCGCGAAAGAACTCCTTACAAAACACTTATACTCCAAGCCTTAAAGTATCAAAACATGTAGTTTATCTTCCATTAAATTTCAGTAACTTTCCTTCCTTTTCACATCCTGTTAAGCTATGCTCCCAGGTCTCTACCAATACTTTTCTGCATCAGACCACTTAAATAAAGAGAGAAAAGCCATTCAGCCCATCAGGTCAATTCTTTCCAGAATCGTTACATGGCTTCCTTTCCATGGATTTACAGCCTCGAAAATGAGTAATTCTATACCTTTTTAACCTAATTAACCGGGATGACTTTTGTCCTCTAAAGCTCTCAATCCTTTTCTCAACAGCTATTGATCCAACTCCCTTCTAATTGATCGGTGCCAATTGATCCAGAATCAACTATTTTTTTCCCCTGGGAGCATGTTCCACGTATCTCTTATTCTACCGGAAAACTATTTCAATCTGGTTCAAGCCTTGTGACTTGTGCTCACAGTTCAAGTTAAATACGTTGCTCATCTTAATCTCATCTATTCCCTTATTATTATGTTTCGCCTCAATGTTCTCTTCTCCAGCAAAGCTAAATGTAGCTCCTTGAATCTTTCTTCATGACTTCAAAAACTAAGGCTTGAAAACATCCTGTTATTACTCTGTGAACTCTATTCCTGTGTCTTTTCTTGAAAAGAGTTGACCTGCACTGAGCCCTCTGTCCAGAACTGCTATCACTGATAATCTGTACAACATGTGTATAAGTGTTCTGAGTTGAATCCATTTGCTTAATTGAAGCTTCATAAACCCTGCAGTAGATGCACAAGAAGAGTCAAAGTTGCCCTCTCTCTTTTCCCCAATTTCTGCCTATCTGTATGGAAGCAATTCACATTTCTTTGCCACCTCTTCACCCCTAGTTAACCCAATTTAAGTCAGGAATAAATGCAAATCCAGATTCTTATAACCCAATGGATTCACTTCTTATCAACCATCCTGGCTCGCAAGTGTTGTAAACACAATACATTGCTAACAATTGTTTGAGATGAGCTTCATAGCTTTCTTTCATGAAACTGGCCATAGTGTCCTTATCACTTTCTCACTTAAGCTTTACCAGTGTATCTCACTGAAGGAAATAAATGGCAAATGGATCTTGAGAAAGAATCGACAACAATTGAGTCCTTTATTTTGTACAAAAGAAATCCACTTCCTTACAATCCTACAGTGTTTCAGTCTAAATATTATGCTGAGTGATCTGTGCGTACACACTGTTCAATGGGAGTTGAAAATTGGTAGCAGGCAACAAAATGCACTTAATGTACTTAAATTTGTCCAGTCTAACTTGGTAACTAAGTGACCAAGGCAAAGTATATGTTCTAATGGTGCAGCTGGCTCTGTTTTCTCTCTTTGTCAGTTACAACAAGAACTCTATGGTACTATATAAAGCTCCCCCAGGGAGACATTCAGATCATCTGCCCAGACTAATGAGTTGAAGGTTTCGCTTTTCGATGGCTGTAAGAATACTCTGCAAATTAATTTACGTGAGGTTTTAATTCCTGAGAAGCTAAGGAGCAAAATTGCGTGCCAGCTGCATTATATGGGATGGATATAGTGGGTAAATATCTCATCGTGAATACATGGCTGTACATGTTGGGTTGAGCGTGGTACCTTGACATGTAAGGGTGGACGAATATTGGCGTTATGTGATATGGTGGTATAATGTCTAGTCCTATCTAGGCATCCCAGGCTAT